CCAGCTGGCATCTCCCTTCATCCTTGGGGCTGTTAGCAAATAAGGGAGATTTAAGAATAACCAACATGCCCCCAGTTGCCTTTATCCCAGAAGAAACCAGAGCCTTGAACAGAGTTGAATGCTTTCCAACTACAAGTTGGAACTGACTCGTAGAACAGGGTCCCAGAGTCTGGACACCTCTTGCTTCAGGACCGGGTACTGCCTATGACACTTCCCAGCATGGTATTACAGGGACAAGGAGTCGGCAGGGTTACCTTCTATATAAGGAGTTCCCACACCTCAATCTAAAGCATTCACCAATGGGAATTAGGACTGGGGCCTGAGATCTGATCTCATAAGCTGCTAGGGCCCCAATCCTCCTCTCAGTGGTCCTGTTGCTTCATTCACCCCTTATGCCTCATCTGAGAAAGGAGAAGTAAAAAGAAGACACTCAAAGCAGGTAGGGGCTCCGTGCATACACACCAGGCTGGGTACAGGACTGGCTAAGCCCATGCTCCTTCTCTTCTTCCTCCTGAATTGTGTTATTTATGGATTCCAACATTTAGGTTCTCTTTGGAACAGACATAAGAAGATAGAGCTGGCATGCTTACAGTTTGTGCCATGCTACTGGTCACTTGGAGTTAGATGGTGAGGAGGTAATGTCTTTGACTTCAAGATCTAAGAGGATCTGCATGCGTGCCAGTTAGGGTTTTTCCAGTGTTTGTGGGCAGCCATAGGAAACAGAAGATCACAGGATGGGATGCTCTACTACAGAACAGCCTGAAAATGGGGGTAACTGGCACATCTTCCCACCCCTGAAGTCTCTCCTGACATTCTCCAGCTGCTTAATATGGGACGTAGATCCTTACGGTGATAGGAAAGGAAACAAGAGGTCTGGCGCGCTGAGGGAGAGAACTGGCAGGTTAGCTCACACCTAATAATCTCCATACAGACTCAGAGCTTGTACTTGCGCCTGAGGCATCAAAGTGCTTGCTTGTAAAGAGCCTGTGATTGGATTCCTATAGGGCCAGGCCAGTGAAGTACGCGGTGTAGAGGGCAGAGCAGGACATGCTTCCAACCGCCGCAGTCACGCAGCCTGCTATTCCTAGAATTTTCTATCATTCAAAAGCTTCCAGAAACACAGGCTACCTAAACACAACTGTCTATGCAAACTAGAAGCAGATAATTTCCTGAAGCTCAAGCCCCAGAGGATAAACGGAAAGGAATCCTGGGGTAACAGAAGAGTTGGTAACTGAGACCCCGAGGTGCCCTGATAAGTTGATCACTTGGGGGAAGAGGGGAAGGCGCCACGGCCTGGGCCCTAGCGGTGGGCTCCAAGGAGGACCTCAGCGCAGAGCCTCGAGCTAGACTAACCTGCAGCAGGACCACAAGCATCTTCTGGAAGTGGCCAGAGGTGTCACCAATGATGTCGGCTTCCAGATCCCGCTCATAGGCTGCAGAGAAGCAACACAAGCTTTGGCTTGGCTCCTGGAGGCCCAGGGTCCAGAGTACTAAACTCCGCTGCCCTCTCCCAAAAAAATGATGAGGTATAGGCATGAACCCCTATACCTCAAACTGCACTACTTCCAGGATGAAGACAGAGGGTGTGTTTTTGTACTGACCCAAGACAGGAAGAAATGGAATCGCTCAATTCCTCTCTATCCCACTGGCTCCATAGTAACCTGGGAACCACTGACTTTCTCCTGGAGAGTGGCTTTCCCTCCACTACTTCTTATTCCTTCTCTAATGCACAATAATGACGTGTCTGTGTCCAGCCCTTATATAATCATAATGACCCCTTACCTCCCACCGGACACAGCCTGCCATCTCCAGCCTCACACTCACCCTCTGGCTCGTTCCAGTCTCAGGGCTCTGGACCTGCTGTTCCCTGTGAAAAGCTTTTTCTCGGCTCTCTTTCTCGTTGGCCTCTCCTATCTTCTCCCAAGGAGGGCTGTCCCTGACCACCTATCTGAAGCAGGTCCTCCCTAGCTGATGACTGTCTCTTAAGGATCTCATTTCATAAGAAATACCACCACATTCTGCCATCTTATTTACCTGCTTCTTGTCTGTCCCCCTCAACCCACAAGCTCTAGGGGGCAGGGACGGCAGTGGTTGAACTCACCACCATATCCCCAGAACCTAGCACAGTGCCCAACACAGGGGAGGGACGTATGCAGGGACGGAGCAAAGGCTGGAAGGATGGGTGGAGGGAAGGATGGAAGGATGGTTGGAAAGATGAACGGATGGCAGACAGTGAAAGGAAAAACGGACAGATGGTTTAAGGTTCCACAGTTTGTAACTGTCCTCATATTCACATCTGAAGTGCCTGAATGACCTCTTCCCCATCTTACCATCTTTGTAAGCTTCCACCAGTTGGTGGATCTGCTCGTTGGTTCTGGAGGCCAAGATCTCAATGAGGCATTTCTCATCGGTACCAGCACCCTAGAAGAAAAGCAGCAGAGCACGTGACTCCAGAGCTGCCCTGAGATACAGGACGTGAGGTCTTGTCCAGCCTCTGCCTCCAGTTCACTTTCCGACCTCATATAAGAACATTTCTTTTCCTGGACCCCAGTCTTCTCATTTGTAAAATGGGAGTAATACCAGTTCTCCTGCCAAACTCACAAGACTACTGAGAAAATATTAACTGGAAACATTATTGAGCTTATGAAATCAATTCAGCTCACGTGAGGCACAGGCCCCGCCCTTCGTAAACGGCCTGACCTCCTCGAGGGCAGCTCTCTACTGCACACTCTCCGTCTCTCCTCACTTCCCCCGGCCCTTGAGGGTCTTCCCTTGCTTTGATCACACTCTCTCCAGGCTTTTGGGCTCAGCTGGAGCCTTCCATCTCCCAAGAAACCCTCCCTAACTACCCCAGGCCTAGGTCTAGATGTCAAAAGCAATTGATTATTTATAATGAAGATTTAGAACAAAAATCACACCTCAATTCTGAATTCAGTCTAGATGTAGCTAAAATTATAATATTGTAAACGATCTCTAGCAAAAGTAAGCCCATATGTTCTGTGAAGGAAAGGTTCTTCTTTGCAAAACTCAGAGACATCTCCCCCAAAACTAAAAAAACCTGAACACCAAAGAAACAAGGCCACAGGAGCAAAAACCAAGCAGAAGCAGACATGGTGGAAACTAGAAATTTGATCCACTAGCCTATATTTACTGCATTTTGGCCTTGGGTATGGCAACACTGTTTGATTCTATGTCCCTGTATCCTGCTTCTTCAGGCCTGCAAGTTCCTGACATGAGAGGACACGCCAAGCGCCCCTGAGCACAGGTCAACCTCATGCCAATGTGCCCCATCTGTTCACCTAGGGGAGACGGTGCTGCCCCGCTGAGCGAAGGTCTAGGCAAACTGACTCGGGAAGTGGGCCATTAGCTGGCTTCATGCAGGGCTCACGGAATGATTCCTGCAGAACCTGGGATCTTCCCAATAACACACTCACACCCCTTACCACGATGGCGTCTTTAATTTCTTTGGCATCACAATAGGCAAGTGGCCTCATCAGGCCCACAATCAGGCGTTCAAACTTCCCTGTAAGCTCATACTTCAGGTCAGCAATGAGGTCCTGGGGAGATGACAGGGAGTAGGAAGAGGGACAGTGGTTACAGTGATGAGAATGACATGCATTGAACACTTACTCTGCAGACACTGGGCCAAGTCAGCACATGTACCCGTCCCTCTCAAATGTCCAGTTATCAATGCGAAGACACAGGGCCATGCAAACACTTGTCACAGGAAACGGCAGAAGGAAATGGCTGTGCAGGTTCAAGCCCACACCACTGGGCCTCTCCCCACCACTGTTTGCTTGGTTCTTGTGTACCATCTGTCCCCTACTCTCTGTGGGCCCACAGTGCTGAGACCTCTTGTTCACCAACGTAGCCTCACAGAGAACAAGTGCTCTGGCCCCATCGGTGGCTGAATGCTGCCTAGCTGAGAAGACACACAGCAGTGAAGGGTCTGTGGTTGGGAGCATCAGCACAGGGATAGACCCAGAGCCAAATGCTAAGGAAGCAAATGCACTGAACACACACATTAATGAAGCGGCTGTCCTCCTGTTGCCAGGGTTACCTTGCCATAGAGGGACTTGTAACTCTGAGTGATCTCCTGCCTCTGCCGGTTGCTCCGGGAGGTGATCAGCTCCAGAATGGCCTCCTTGTCACTGCCTGTGAAGAGGAAGGGCACATGTCACTGTATCCATGCTGCCTCCCGGAAGCCTGCCAGGGCTGCCTCGGCCCTGGATGCAAGGCCTTGCAGGTCCCTGGAGTGCTGGTGGGAAACATCATGCAGAGAGTGAGGGAGAATCTATGGGGACTTATTTGGGTCCCTTCTGAGAGGGATCAAAGGATACAGACTCTCTGCATGAAGTGGGTCCTGACCCAACTTCTTATCCTACAGATAATGAGCCTGAGACCCAGAGATGGGACAAAGGCTCACCTAGGTCTCAACGAAAAACGGCAGTTCTCACCAACACCCAAGGCAGTGTGCTTCCAATCCCAGAATGATAAGAGACAATAATAAACACCAAATCCAAGTACTGGTGACCTCCAAGAGGCAAGGGAGAGCTGGATGAATGAAAGTAGTAGGAGGGGTACCTGCCAAAGGCTATAACTACGCTGATGAAGCCCTAGTCTCAAGTTGTGTGATGAGTCGGTGATTCCTTCTATTGTTCTTTACTGCTTTGAGTCTGAAATGTTCTTGATATTTTTGTATGAAGTACTTTATAAAATTATTGGAAACAATCACTTCTTGGTCTCTTTGTTAAGATCAAGTATAAACAGAATAAAAATAGTAAGTGGAGACAGTTGAATGAGTGAGTACTTCTCAGCCCTCCTCACCTGAAGGAGCTGAGCTATACCCACATTTGGGGAATACCCCAAGTCCTAGTGAAACGTGGTTTGGGGGCCCCACCTCAGCGGCTTTCTAGCACCCACCGAAGCCCTTCATGGCAGTGTAGAGAGCCTCAGCATCCTGGCTGGGATCAAAGTCCGGGAAGTCTCGGATGGAGCCCCGGTACTTGGCACCCTGCGGAGAGAAAAGCAGAAGCTGAGTTCCAGTCAGAAGCCTCACCTGGCCCACAGGCTGAGTACAGGCTGTGTTCTTTGGACTCAGGATCAAGTAGCTGATGCCACAAGCCCTGACATGGGCAGCTTCCCACACTCTCTGTGGAAACCTGCCCAAAAGAGCCACTTCCCCAAGGCAGGGAGGCTGAATCCTATACCACTGGACCAATTGGCAGCATCAGGATGGATGGTGAAGAGATTGAGATTGTTCACAGCTTCAGTTTGCTTGGCTTCACAGTCAACATTCTTGGCACAAGTAGCCAGGAAATTAAAAGGTGCATTGCCATGGGAAAGTCTGCTGTAAGGGACCTCTCCAAAGTACTGAAGAGCAATGGTGTCTCTCTGGAGACTAAGGTGCGTCTGATACAGGCCATGGTCTTCGCAATCACCTGTTATGCATCAGAGAGTTGGACAATGACCAAGGAGGATAGAAGGAGAACTGATGCCTTTGAGCTGTGGTGCTGGAGAAGAGTATTGAGAATATCATGGACTGCTAGGAAAACAAACAGATTTGTCCTGGAAAGGGTTAAACCGGATGGCTCCTTGGAGGCAAGGATTCTGGGGCTTCGTCTGACATACTTTGGACATGTTGTGAGGAGAGAATGGTCCTTGGAGAAGGACTTCATGCTTGGGAGGGTGGAGGGACAGCGCAGGAGGGGAAGGCCCTCTATGAGGTGGATTGATTCAGTGACTGGGATAATCGGGATGGGAGTGTCAGAGACAGTGCGATTGGCACAGGACAGAGCAGAGTTTAGGGCTGTTGTACACAGGGTCGCTATGAGTCGCAAGCGACTCAATGGCACATAACAACAACAACAACAACAACAACAGAGGAAGGTCTGATAGCCTAGTGGGTAGGCAGTTGTGCTGCCAACACAAAGGAAGGTGGTTCAAATCCACTAGCTGCTCCAAGGGAGAGAGATGGCCAGTCTCCTCCCTTGGGGATTTAAAGCCTCTGAAAATCCACTAGAGGGTCAGTGATGAGTCATTTCTGACTTGACAGTATCTAACAACACCACAGTTTACGCAGAGTCCCAGGAAATGGAATGCTTGGCTGTTAAAGACTAGAGTCTTCCCAGCCTTGGAAGAAAAGCCTGGTGATCTACTTCTGAAAAGCCAGTCACTGAAAACACTTTGGTGCACAGCGCTGCTATGACATACCTGGGGCCACTGCGAGCAAATGGTGTGCATTACTGGTTTACCGTTTACAAGCTTTCACCGCATTAATGTGATTGCTTTAACACCACAGAAAAGCACTTAAGATTATCTCTATCACAGAAGAAGAAATAGGAAGAGAAGCCACTGGTGAGAGGTCACACAGAACTGAGATCTCTGTTATCCAATTCCAAAACTGTGTGGCTCCGATCTTCAGCCCCGGGGGCTCAGAGCCACCCTCAGGCTCAATGCAAAGATCAACTGTGGTTCCTGCTGGTCCTGTTAGCTGAGCTGTGAATCAGCCTCTGAGGACAAGCTGGCTGGGTCCTGGGGGGAGTGGAGAAAGTCAGAGGATCTTCAATAACTAGCCTGAATGCACAATGGGCTGGTTCACCGAGAAGTCAGGTGTGGGTTAGCGAGGCTGCACAGGTGAGTATCGGGTGCAGGAGAGCTGAGAGTGCCAGCGTTCAAGTCACTGGGCAGATGGCACTGTGACAGAGTCAGGTCCAGAGTGAGGGCTGGAGACTCGGGAGAAACAGGCCTGTGCTTCACCTCTGCAGAGCTCTGGCCCAGTGCAAGATAAAGACGAACATACACACTCTTGTGAAGCTTGTAATATGCACTTTAATGCAGAGGTAACAAAATGCAAAAAGAGCAAAGGTCGATCCTAGCTGGAGAAAGGAACCAGGAGAAACCAGGAGATGCTTCATGGGAGAAAAGGGTGAGGTGGCCTCTACAAACCACTACTTAAAGGAGCAGGGGTGGAGCAGGCAAAGAGTGGGCTTGCAGCCACGGCCTGCACTTCTCAAGGCAAAGCCCGTTTTCCAGAGCCTGCAGGACCCTAGCCAGCAATCCAGATGCCCTTAGAATTAGTCTGCAGAGTCCAGCTTCTCAGAGGTATGCAGGCGTGGGCACAAGGTTGCTATTTAAAGTCCTGATGGGTCAGGTGACCAGAAAGGGACACAGCCCTCTGCCCACACTGGTGAATCCCCTGCAACCGGATCCCACTCCGGGGCAGGGAAGGGGTGAGTAATACAACTAACTGGAACCAAGGAGGAGCTCAGTGAGCCTGGAACTCCCTGAGGCTTTACCGCCAGACTTTCTCTGTCCACTGAGACCTCATGGCCGGAGCCTCAGAGATCCCTGCTGGCCACACCGCCTAAGGCCAAAGAGCGTCCATCCGGCCAAACTCCAAGTCTGCTGTGCTACATTCTCAGTTTTTAGTACGGACAGTGACCAAAGGAGGCATGGAATGAGTGAAAGAGTAAGAGAACAGAGAGTCAGCTCCCACCAGAGTCAGCTCCCAACACCTCTGTGTTTCCTAGGATCATCTTCAGCCCAGGAATACAAGAAAAACCACAACAAAAACCAGAGCAGATCATGGAAGGGATGAAGACCAAGAAGTCTTGTTATAATTATTGTCATTATAGTTAGTGCTTTACTTTAAAGTCTATTTGATTCAACCTTCTACTTGATATTCCACTCTGAGTAGGTTAGGGACTGTGTGAAGCACCAGACAACTATCATGAGAACAGCCACCACATGTCCTGAGTGCTTGTTAGAGACTGAGAGGGACTCAGTGACTGTGTGTGCCTGCGTGAGCTCAATGGGTTAAGGAATGAAGAGTCCATGCTGGGCCCTGAGACAGAGCCTGCTAACAGGGAAGGTGGGTAAGGGCCTGTTCTTGGCACTTGACTTGTAGCAGTGTTCTAATTCTGGGCCCCTTGGGTCAGCACTGGAGTATAAACTTTTGAAAGCTGCAGTGGCAGCTGGTCCTCTAGGGTCTGTGCGGGCGAGTTTACAGCCAGCTTGTGAGCATAGTCACAGCACTTCTCTTCCCAGCTGTGCTACCCTATGCTAGCTGCAGGCTACTGCTCCCACCCTAGGACTTCCCTCCCCAGGCTCACATGCCGTGAGGGAGGAAACGCACCTTGACAATCACATGTTGCTGCATACCTTTGAGTTCATTCCAACCCACAGCAACCTCATGACAAGGCACAACTGTCCCATAGGTGCCCAAGGTCTTTTTGGGAGCAGATCACCAGGTCTTTTCTCCCGCAGACTCAATCATAGGCTCAACCCACGGACTTTAATGTTAGCAGCCAAGCACTTAATCAGTACCCCAATGGGGCTCAATGTGAACTATGGAATGGAAACCAATTGAGGGTGGTTGCTCTTTACACTGCCATCTGTGTTCCAGGAGACCCCTCAAAAGAGAGGTAAGGCAGAAAAAAAAAAGAAAGAAAGAGGTAAGGCTTATTCAAGACCAACAGCAAGCAAGTCAGTGGCTGCAACTGGGAAGGGAATCCAAGGCTTTTTTCTTTAGATCAAGTTCTTTCCTGTCCATCCAGATTCCATATGGGGAAGAGCCTTAAGGGAGGGAACACCCAGACAGACTTGCTTTCTGGTCAGAGTGGCCCACCACTGCCCACCCCGATACCAAAGCATCGAGCTATTCTGCTCCACCACTGCTCTCTCTCTGTTGGACTGTGGCCCTTGTAGGTGGACCTACGTCCTCTCTGTGCCACTCAGACCCTGTTTCAAGGCTGTAAACAGACAGGTTGTCCAAATCCCATTATTTAAAGTATTTCTAGTATTCCCATATAGTCATTCAAGTCTAAAAATTGTTGTACTGTGTTTCAAGTAAAAGTTTATAGAGCAATTGAGTTTCCATTCAATCATTCACACAGACTGTTTGACAACATACAGTCCCTATATCACGACAGTTGTTTCCCCTTTCCTGTGCTTCTCGCTTTGATTCATCCTTCTAACCTATCCCTTTCTGTCTTCCAAGCCTCCTCCCTGGACAAATACTTTCTTCTTAATTCTGCATGACTGACTGTTCTAGGGAGTCTGCACCTCCCTGGTAGTACTATTTATCTAATAAGCATGTCTACCATTTGGGTGAGATTTGAGCCACATGATGAATGTAGCTCTAGGCTCAAAGAGTTACTCAGGGCCGTATGCTCAAGGGTTCCACCAGTCTCCACCAGACCAGCAAACCTGTGAAGTTGTCAATTTCATCTTACTTGGACCCACAATCAACACCCTTGATAGAGCAGTCAAGAGATCAAAAGACTTGTTGTATTGGGAAAATAGGCTATCAGGGACCTCTCCAAAGTGCTAAGGAGCAATGATGTCCATTTAAAGACTGAGGTTCATTTGATTCAAGCTATTATGGTGTTTTCAATTCCTTTCTATGCATCTGAATGTTGGATGACAGAAGAATCACAGAATTCCTGTCGCTGAGTTGTGGAGCTGGAGAACAGTACTCAATATCCCATGGACTGCCAAAAGAACAAACAAACACATCTTGGAGAAAGTACAAACAGGATGCTCCTTGGAGGAAAGATGGTGAAATTTCATTTCATACACTTTGAGCATGTTGTTAGGAGGGCCCAGTCCTTGGAGAAGAATGTGCTTGGAAAGATGAAGAGTCAAAGAAGGAGGGGAAGATCCTCCACAATATAGACTGATATAGTGACTGTGACAGTGGGCTTCAGTGTATCAGAGATGGTGAGGACAGCACAGGATAGGGCAGGGTTCAGATTCATTGTCCAAAGGGTCACTATGAGTCACAGTTAACTCCATGGCACCTAACAGCAACATGAAGAAGATTCTTCCATGACAGTTAGGGCCACCGGGGGCCTTTGAAATGTTCATTCAGTCAATATCTATTGTGCCAATACCAGGGACCACAAAGAGCTCACAATCAGATAGGGGAAATCTGTAATAACTTCCATGGCAACAGTTGTTGCAGGAATCTCTGAGTGGTGCAATGTTCAGCATGCTCAGCTGCTAACTGAA